CCGCCTTCTCATCCGTCATGTGTTCTGCTGTACCCCTCCATTACTCTAATAGCCCCTTTCTGCCTTCCAGACCTTTACCAATATTCACTGTTTAGCAGTCAATATGGATGGAATTCACTGTGTAGCACAGTCCACCTCAGTCCACCTCAACTCTATATCCTCTTGAGTGCTGGGATCACAGATGTGCAGCAACATGCCTTGCTCCAAATGACTTACTATATTCTTTTTTTTTTTTTTTTTTTGGTTTTTCGAGACAGGGTTTCTCTGTGTAGTTCTGGCTGTCCTGGAACTCACTCTGTAGACCAGGCTGGCCTCGAACTCAGAAATCCGCCTGCCTCTGCCTCCCAAGTGCTGGGATTAAAGGCGTGCGCCACCACCGCCCGGCTGACTTACTATATTCTTAAGGTGTATGTATATGTGTGTGTGCATACATGTGACTGTGTGTGTGTGCATGTGCACATGTGTGTGCATGCACACCTGTATCTGTAGGTATCTGCGGAGGCCAGAAGAGAGCATTGGATCTCCCAGCGCTAGAGCTGCAGGTGGTTGTGAGTCTCTTAATGTAGGTGCAGGGAACTGAACTCCAATCTTCTGCAAAAGCAATGCATACTCTTAGCCACTGAGACATCTCTAGCCCCCATATGCTTTAAAAAAATATTTGGAAAATATACTCTCCTAAAATTCTCCATGTGATGTCACCCAAATCTTGCAACACAAACAGCTGGGTCATCTGTGGATCAGTTTCTTTTTGGATTTGAGACAGGGCTTGACTGTAAAGCCCAGAGTAGCCTGGACCTTGCCATGCAGTCCAGACTGGCCTGGAACTCCTGATTCTTTTGCCTCAACTTCCTAAATTCTGGGATTACAGGTATACTCCACCACATCTGGCTTTGTGAATCCATTTTAACTCTGTTGTCAACTCAGTGATTCTCAGGATTTCTAATTCTCATATAATTCTGGAATTGTGTATGACACATTTTACAAAGAGGAATCATGGTATGTCCTAGTGAGAAGAGAGTGGGGATGTGTAGACTACATTAGTCTAAACAATAATTCAGTTGACTTGATCCAGGTTGCAACTTTATAAGGCTTAATTTACTCTGACCCTCAGTTTCTAGGGTAAAGCTCTTTGGTGTTCAAGGTTTTTCTGTGGCTTTGTTGTAGTCTTCTGGTGCTGCAGATCAAACCCAGGGCTTTGCACATGCTGAACCTGTGCCTTAGCACCATGCTCCATCCCAGCTCTGAGTGTAAGTGAGCCTCTGAGATATACACTTGTTTTTTCCTCTTGAGGGGTCTTTAAATACAGACTTTTTCCTTTTTGGCCATTCAGTATCAGCAGCCTGGCTTTCAACCTCTCTGCCTCTGTATCTCTCTATTTCTCTCTCCTCTTCCATCAGTCTTTCTGCTCTGAGCAGTTGAGGAATACAGCAACACATCCATACGAGGGGACAGCCACTTCAAGGGACAGCTTCTCAAAGGGACAGCCACCAAGGCCAGCTTCTGAGTCTTCCCCTTCCTGGAATCTTGGCTCTCTCAAGTACCAGCTGGTTTGATGGCTTTTCCTTTGCTTTTACGTCTTTGTGATGTTGCCATAGTATGCTTGCTTCTCTGATACTTCACACTGACTCTTCATGGGCCCTTTGCCCTAGTTTGTGCCCCAACCCCAGAAAATTCCAAATGTAAGAAGAAGCTGTGAAATATGTGCCCCTTCCTCAGACTATCCTCTGTACTGGCAGACCCTCACATTTCACAAAAGGGTTCCAAGGGCTCAGCTTACAGTGGTGCTCATGGTTAGTTTTTACAGCAAAACAACAGAGAGCAAGGTCAGTAAAGGGAACAACAAAGGGATGCACAGGGTGAGATCCAGAGGAAACAAGGGCCAAGGTTCCTTTCCACACCTGTATGCTTGATTTAGCCAGTACCATACCCAGCAAGGGATGCTTATTAGCCACTTATTGTCCAAAGCTCATGTTATGTCTTGTGTGCTTCCTTAAAGGGTCTGTACTGAATGCCCAAAGAAGGCATTCAGCATAAACTGCATGGCTGAGTATAAACAGTTTGCACAGTAGGGAAGGCAGGAGTATTTTAGAAAGCTGTTTCCAGACCAGAACCAAAGCCTATCTTAAAAGTTCAATGGCTTCAAACTTGGGTTTCAAGTAATTTTATACAGTGTTATTTTTCTGAGTGTCACATTGCTATAAAACCTTGGGTTGTTTCTCCTTCCTGCTAAACATTGTTTTTGAGAAATTGCAAACCTGTACATGATGATGAACTGCTTGATCCTCTGGAGTTGATGTGTTTTAGCAGTCGTTAGAGGAGTATCAGAACATAGTTTCAGAAATTGAGATGATCTGGGGAGGGGACTGAGACAGTCTTGCTATGTATGCAGACGTTGCTGATTGTGAACTCAATGCCTTCCTGTCTCAACCTCCCAAGTGCTAGACAGAAACACACACCTCCCCTGGGAATGGGATGAGTGAAGGCTTCCTAAGTTCTCTATGTGTCTGTGGGAGAGTTTTAACTTTACTTCAGGTTTACTCCTGTGGTAGAGATGTTTAAGGCCCTAAGTTAGTGATTCTCAACCTTCCTAATGAACCCCTCCCAACTTTTTAAAGATTTATTTATATTTTAAAAATTTCGCATGTGCAAGTACCCTGTCTTTAGACACACCAGAAGAGGACACTGGATCCTATGACAGATGGTTGTGAGCCACCATATGGTTGTTGGGAACTGAACTCAGGACCTATGGAAGAACAGCCAGTGTTCTCAACCACTTAGCCATCTCTCTATAGAGATGGCCCATGCTGCGACCCTTTGAAACAGCTAATCATGCTATGGCGACCCCAACCTTAAAATTCCTTTGTTGCTATTTCATAACTATAATTCTGCTACTTTTATAATCATAATGTAAATATCTGATATACAGGATATCTGATAAATTACTCACAGGTTGAGAACCGCTGACCTAACCTAAGGCACAAGCATTTTCTCAGGTATCTCTCATGACTTGGCAGCACTGTCATCCAATCTTTAGGTTCCTGGATCAATAAGGAGAGCAACAGTAAGCTTATATCTTAAGCGTTTCTTCTAGCACTAGCCAGCATCCCCAGGGGAGAAGTTGTTTTTAGAACTTTTTGTTGGGCCAGTGAGATATGAATGGGCAAAGGCATGTGAAGCTAAATCTGACCCAAATTCAATCCTAGGACTCACATGGTGGAAGAGAATCAACCCCTGAGCATTGCCCTTTGACCTCCTCAGAGGTCAAAAGAGGACATTAGATCCCTTGGAACTGGAGCTGGTTGAGCTACAGATGTAGGTGTTGGGAATCAGACTCAGGCCCTATAGCACGGCAGCACACACTCTTAACTGCTGAGCTATTTCTTGAGTCCCAAGCCTGTCTTTAGACATTCTGAGATAAAATTTCTTCCTTTGTATTAATGCATGTAAACTATGTATATAGAATATGCACACACATTAGCTACTCAACATAATTAAATGGGCTTTCGATATATCCAACATATACAAATTTGTATTCTAATGAGTATGTCATGTTCCAGTATATGGACTAATCAAGACATTTATAAACAATGCTACAATGAATACCTTGCATTTTAATGTATATTCATTTGGGTAAATATAATGCAAAAAAGAGTAGAAGAGATACTGCGTCAGAATACATGGGTAAAGATTCCACTCAGTTGCTCACTAATTCATTTGTAGCAATCTACTTTCCCACCAATTGTCTCAGACACTAATGGTTTCTCCAGATAAATGCAAATACTAGTTCCTATCTATCAATCTGAAAAAAACTAAAGAACTATTCATTTCAATTTAAGTGAACATACTTTTAATATAGCAATAACTAGCATTCTGGTTACCAATGAAATACAATTATCTCATATTCTACAAAAACATAGTAGCATCATTTAGTTTCATGAGAATTGTATTTTAAATTTTAACCTTATGAGATGGAATAAATGAATTTGAAATACATGTTCATTTGACGGTACTTAGGATCCTATTTGACTAATTGACAACAAAGAAAGAGTTGTACGGCCTATGTTCAGGGCACGATCCCCAGCATTTGGCAAGCCTGGGCACCCACTCCCTGAGCATTTCAGTTTCCTCTTTTGTAAAACGGGGTGCTATTTCCTTTTAAACATTGTTTTGAATGCTTAAGTCACAAATCAACCTCTATATAAGGCCTACAGTAATAATCCAAGAGAAATTATAGTCCTGATTAATGATTATAAAATGTGCATGCAGATATTAACAGTCAGACTGTACTAGGGGAGCCAGCTATGTGCCAGAGACTCTGCAGTCACTACGAGTGCAGATTTCACAGGCATCGTAATAATCGGTGCTGGCTTCTACAAGTCGTCTTCGAAGAGTAGCTCAGAAAATATTTCCTAACATACTCCTTAGATCCTTAGTTGGGATTATTCGCACACATACACACCCAACTGCACGCTAGAACAGTTCCTTTCTAATGGAGTTGGTTCCAGTAAACATATGCAGATCAGGAATGGCACTGTGGCCTACTGTAGCCAAGAAATAAAATACTGTGATGTATCCCACTGTCAGGAAACTAGCCGCAACCCAACTTGTTCCCTGTCTCCATGCCCCTGCATTGAAGGCTTGTGCTCATGCTTGTCCACTTTGCCCATGCTTTTGGTATAACAAATCAGCCACCAGGTCAAGGCCCTTGGAGCTCAGCTTTAGATGGACACTAGTGAGGTTGTCCAGTTCCTCATCCTGAGGTGTAAAGCCAGGAGTGAGGGTATCAACGGGCCAACCCCAACAGCTCCCTGTGGCTCTGTCCACACAGCTTACTTTCTTGTGCCCCACTGCGAAGATCACAAATTTTTATAACAGTTTTTAGTAAATAAAATGATCTAGAAAAACACCTTTTTTTTTAGTTTTTATTTCAATAAAACAAGAGGAAACTTTTGATGTATAAAGTACTACATATGGAGAACATTTATACAAATGTACAAAACTTCAAAGAACTCAACTCCAGTTTATTTCATACTTTAAAAACATAAAGAGCACATAAAAATATCCAAAGTTTATTCTTAGGAATGTAAATGCTAGGCATACAGTGACAAGTGTATTTGTGAGAAGAGTTTAGCATTATCACATGATCAGAAGCAAAGGTCAGAGGCAAACGGTCAGTTCCAATGAGAGAGACAGTTTGGGGGCCAGAAAATACAACAATTGAGGCCCATGTCCACTAGTACTCTACTACAAAACATAAAACATCTTCAAATTGTTCACACTCAGTCTTCTTGGATATGTGCAAGTTACAAAGTCCAGAAGGTAGCCCATGAGTGCTTTCTGGAGAAGACTTGAGCAGTATAAAAGCACACATCTCGATTGCCCACTGTACCAGCATTCAGCAGCAAACGTGCAAGTGTAAACTCGTGCTCACTAAAGGACTGGGGTTTTAGCCTTTCACTTGGGCTGGGAAGACACTATTGTACACTACTTTCTACCTACAATGCCTCGGTACCAACATTTTGTGTTTCAGTATTTCTCAGTTACAACACTTGTGCTTCCTTGGCGCGCTTTCCTCTGTGGAGGTCAATGTGCCTACAGAAGTAGACGTCAAGCTGCCTCAGTCTAACTCTTGGCTTAAAATCATGTTTTAGAGTGTGTATTTTCCTCCACAATTTACCATTCAACATTTTAACTATGATACTTCAAAATAGGCAAAAATCCCTCTAAACTGGAATTTTTAAATCTATTTTGATTTATTTCCCTTTAATTCAACTTTTTACAACTGAGTGATATCTGCAGAGTTGTTGGTTTGCAATTGAAAGGGCAATGAAACACTACCTTTTCAAAACAAACAAGTTGTTCTGTGATTCCTGCTCTTCAGTGCTACAGAGATGGACTTAAAGAGTTCAGGCAGTATCCCTGCCATTCCAAGGTGCTTTCCAGAGGCTCCCAGAAGAGGAAGGGTAGCACCTGAGCAGTGGGATCCTTGGAAGAGTCTACACTCTGCTTCTCTCTTCTCTTCACTTGGATTGCAGAGAGAGGTTCATGCCAGGCACAGCTTCACAGGAGTGCGAGGGTTGGGTCAATTCAAGAACCTCTATCTAGATCTAACTATGGGGTGCCAGACCCCAGTTTTGTGTGGAATCCTCTTGGTAAAAGCTATTCTCCTGGGTCCATGAGATGCTTATACTATCAGCATCTTTACAGAAACTCAAATACAAAGCCACACAACTTCTCACATTTGAAAGATAAGTAGGAGTGACTAGAACAACTGTTGCCACAGTGAATAGCATCCGGCTTTGACAGCTGGTATGAAAGCCTCCGATGTACACAATCCTTACTTGAAATAGTATCAAAAGTAGTATAAAAGAATTTTATTGTTCACATAACTCCACACTCCAGAAAATCAATTGGTGTAAATCATTTGGAACAAAACTTCAGACTCATTCCACTGTATAAGCTGTTACTGATTTTGTAAGAGAGAATGAACATATGTGCAAATGTGCTGTACTCATAACAACTCAAGTACAAAGGGGGGCTTTCCTACTTAAAACCTGCAGCATCTGAAGCTCTGGGTTCATTTATGACCAGCAAGCAAAGCAGAAGATGCTACATTTTTATACAGAAACAAGTGAAAAGTGGGAACTTAAAATGAGAGCCTCTAAGAAGTCACATGTCAATGTTATTTAAAAGCTACTTGGTTATCAAAAAATATGACAATTATGACGATCTAGTATCTAATACCTGTGCTTGAGAACTGTGAGAACACTGAGGAGCCTATATATTAGACAAGTAGTTAGCACTTTGAAACTGTCTTCACAAAGACGAATGTACAGGAGTGTCACTGGGGACCTTGTTAAAATGCCAGCTTTGATTTTCTAGGTCTGCCCCTGAAATTTTGAAGTTTTATTAAGATACCAGGTGACACCAATGGTCTTTGGACCACACAAGTAGCAAATGTCTACAACAATATCAAAATGAGGTTTCAATATGGTAGCTGAATATTATTCTGATCTCTTGTTTCTTTAAACTTACTCTATGCTTAAGCAAGCACTTCAACCTGCCTAAGGACAATCTTTTAAATTTCTTCTTAATAATATCAACACTGTTAGTAACTATGGTTAAGAAAAATTCTTAAGGAGTTACAAAAAGACAACAGGAAATTCACAGTGACATTTTACAAACATTTTAACTATATACAAGATTACTATTAAATTATTTCAATTATCAATTTTACTGTCTAGTTACCTTAAAATTGTTGAGGACAATTTAAGCCAGCAGCTCATTCTGTTACTGAAACTAAAATGTTAACTCATTTACGCTAAAAAAGCACCGGCCTTGGATAATCAGGTTTAAACTAGGAGGTAAGCATTTAAAACTCAAGTGTAAATGCTTTGCACTTTGCAACATGTGGAGTTTTCTCATCTACATGAGCTAGACCCAGAGGGTTTGAGAGGGTACACTAGTATGTTCTGTGGGCATAGTGAGGGACCACAAGTAAGGAGGCCTTGGTGTGCTAAGTCAATGAAGCCAAGAAGCAGACAGCATCCTAGGCCTCCCCACTGACCTGCTCCTCTCAGTCCCAGTTAGTACCACAGCACATGCACCTCACATGAGCATCAGCCAACCGAGCAGACCACAGGCACTGAGCCTGGGCGTCCATCTCAGCAGAGTTTAGCTTCTGCCTTACCACATTTCTCAGTTGGCAGGAGTGGGTGGTAGCTGAATTCTTTCTACATTATAACAAGAACACTTGAAGCTCACAAACAAGCAGCACACTCTTTTTATGTTAAATTTAAGAACAAACACAAGCAACCCTAAGCTAATGCACAAATGTCCTCTGTCCACATCTACTGTATTTTCTTTCATCATATTTTAGATGAAAAATGAACTAGTTTCCTTCATTCACAGACATTTCACTATTAAACGCTTCATATTGTTATCTTGGGAGCTGTGCTACAAAGTTTAAAGGGGTTTTCAGAAAGTCGTCTGTGATGTGTGCTGTGACCACTAAAATACAAACTAGCTAGGATTTCCAAAGTTGAGCAGCACAGTCCATCGGCTTTATGGCTGGTTACACTTTAGAAACCGAAAGGGACTTTCACCCCTGTAATCAGATCAAACACTTCAGAACGTCATCTACCAGCAATCTCAGTTTTGCTGTTTAATGTTCTAAGGACTGCAACAGAAATTCTCCCAGCTTCCCCCTTGCAACTGTCCTGCCAGGCAACTTGTGGTGTGGAGCAAACTGTCCCCATCCTAAGCATGATGTGGTCACAGCACATGACATCCCCACGGCTCTCAGGGCTTTGTTTTCTCACAACACCTGTTTAGCAGTGTGGCTTCATGGACTTGCTCCTCTACCTGGGCTGGACAACCCAGTCCTCTCACACAGAGATTCTCTTTGATTTCCCAGGGCAAATACACAACCACTGAAAAACGAGGTATTAAAAACAACCTCACTGAGGATGTAACCAACAATAACAAGTAACAGGAAAGGAGAATAAAAGTATAAAGAACTTAAACCAAGGGGAGAAGAGTACCCAAGAAATAACAAGACCACATGTCAGCTTACTGCAAACTAAACATTATTCCCTTCATAGTCAAAGGAGAGCCTTCAGAATTGAAGACACCAGGCTCATGCCAGGACTAGGCATGAAGGACTCAGTACTTTCATAAGGAAGCAAAGCCATCTTCCAGCTTCACTAGTTACAGGAGAGAAGTAAGTTACAAGTTAATCTGCAGACAAAGTGATGCTAATACTAGGAGGCCCCTGCTGGCCCGCTTGACACTTCATTGGAAGTTCAGTCCTTTCTGACACATAAATAAGCTTTTCTTCTTGGAGACTACAAGCAGAAAATCTATGGGCATCTGCCCCAGCTACACAGCCAATGGCAGGAGAAGGGCTACGTGGGACTGGGACACCACTGACTTGTTCAAAGGATTTACTAAATACAGTGGCCGCAGTCTTAGCCAAGCCTTGGCTGCTGGGCTTGGGCAGGGACTGGCTGGAGGTTAAGGTCAGTCTCTTTAGAGAGAGAAGCTCAAGGTTCTCACTCTGGGCTCTCTGGGTTTGTTTGCGAGCAAAGTGATCTCTGCAAGATTCCCCTGCAGTTTCTCTCTCTTTTGCTCCAGCTTTGCTTCCTCCCGACCGTCTCTGGTTCTTCCCTACACTTGTCTTGTTACTACAATTGTGACTACTGTTTGATAGACCCGACTGGCTGGTGCTAGACGCAGCCCTGGAATAAAATCCCTCGTCAACTTCAGTTATGTCCATCAGTTCTTCTTGACCTGTTAATTCTGTATCTCCTAAACAAAGAAATGACAAAGATTAATTAACATTAAGTATCTTAAGTAACTTTTAAGAGAGTAATACCAAATCAATTACATTTCAATCAATATCTTAGCAGAATTTCTTAAAGCAATAATTACAGAGCAAAAATCAAAGAGTAAGTTGAAACATTTTATAATGTGTTAAAATAATTTTATAATGTGTCAAATACACAGTGATTTAGAGTATATTAAACCACAAGCATGCTGTATGCTACCCACACTACAGTTTTATGAAGGGTCCTCCTATATGCATGCAAAGAGCAGAAGCAATTAGAAAGGTCAGACATTAAATGCTGGTGATGACTGCTGTATCATAGCTCCTACCACTAAACTTAAGTTAAAACAGTATATGTAAAGAGATTTTTAAGAAGGTTGTGTTCTCCATTCTAGATACTCTTAGAATTAAAAAAAAATATGTACATAGATACACTATAAATATCACTAGCTCAAAACTTGTTAACAGTCTATATACATTACCTTTCATATTTAAGAAAAGGAAAAATCATTTTAGTTCCAAAACTTAAGCAGAAAATTACTCCAGAAGCAATTTTTTGCCTCAGTTTCTCTAACAAATTCCTGCGACCACATGGGGATGATTATTCTGAAGAGGATTAAAGGTCATTGAGAAATTATGATGCATAATTCATGCACTTTATCAGATGACATGCAAATTGTCTGTGACTGTGCAACTGTCGCTCACGTAGCATGCACGGTGCCCTTGCCTCAAGGTACCTTGGGCTGCGGCTACAAAGCGTCTGCTAAAACTGCACTCTGCCAGCTGTGGACATTCCATCCTCCATCATTTTTCTTACAGATTTTTGCCTCCTGAGTTCGGGCAAGCCTCTGCTCTCACTTCTAGGGTCTGTGGCTGTTTCCTGCACACCCTGCATATGCTGGGTGTCAATGTCTCCTAGCGCTCTGCCTTTTTCCCCATTCCCGGTCCTCTCTCCGGACACATGTGTGACACTAATCTCAGGGATGACAAGGACGCCCGCTTCAGCAGCGGCACTGCTGCCCTCAGGTTGCTCTAGGATTGAAGATGATCAGACAAAATGATGGCTGAAGACAAAACAAAAGAAAATGCAAAACAACAAAACAAAACAAAAAACTAAAGAGAACAAAACTGGATGATCGAATGAATGGTATAACTTAAGTCAAACACAGACGCTGTCATTTCCTTCATTTACGATCCTGTGACAGCACAGCTCTTTAAAAGTCCAATGAGCATCAGTTCACTTTCTGTATTTTCACACATATCTTACATGGAATATGAAACACATTTTTTTACAAACAAAAACTGAATGCCTTTTAAAAATATTGTGACCAATTAAATTTATGTAAACTTTAGGTAAATGCCCCAAAATATAAAGGCAAAAACTCTGGCTCTTGTCAACAATGATAACTAAAGCAATTAGAAAGTACCCTTTGTACACTTCAAATCTTATTTTTTTACACCCAGCCTGACTTAATCAACCACGATAATTAAGGAACTGCTTATTCAATCATGCCTTGGTGATTAGCAACCCTTCTTGTCTCACATACTCAGAATCTCAAACATCAGTAACATTAACATGCTTAAGGTAGAATTAAGCCATCCATTTCTTCAGATTCCTACGGAGTCTATGCGTTCTGATGTGCTTGCAACAGTCCATTACTACAATGGGGAAAAATGAAAAGTAGACAGGAAAAGCAAACTGGTTCTCAGCTTATTCTGAGACAACAAAACTCATAGCTAGTGAACATCTGTAAAGATAACTTTATTTTGTGCCTTAAATACAAAAGGTTTTAAAGTTCTTAGGTAAATATCTATAATATGTAGTAAAAATAACATAAATATGTAAAAAATGGACCAGTGGTGAAATTTAGACTCCATGAGACAAAACAACAAAAACTAAGAACAGTGTATACTCATTAAAATGTAGCACACAAGTCTGTTGAGAAAAACAACTTTGTTTTCAGAGCGAGAATCATCAAAACCTTATGAATTGTGCTAAAGTCTGTCAAACTGCATCCTATAGTAAAAGAGCAGAGGCCAAAGCTGCATGTACCCAGGGAGGCCTAGCTTTGCAGCATGTCTTGGCCATCCTTGCACTTTCCAGGTGCCCACTTTCACCACAGCAACCTGATTTATCCACAGATGAAGTAGTTTGGGATTACACATCTTGAGCTCCCAGGTGACTGGCATGCAGCTGTTTAGAAATCAATACTCTGTTCTACATCCTTCACAGTTTGAAAATGGATTCCCCTCGGTGCCCTAACTACCCCATCTAGCCACAGGAACACTTCACATCTCCTCAAAGCTTCTGTTGCCTTGCATCCATGATCCTAAGCTAATAACGTTTTTCCTCCTTAGCTGGTGCCTCACACACCAAGTTCCTCATTCTCAGGCAGGCTGAGGATAGTGGAGCCTTAGAACCCTGCTGTTCCTTTGTGTGGAACCAACCAAGCCTATTCCCAGTTGCTAACAGCTATTTTCAAAAGTAAGGGCAAATCAGTTCTTATCACAGTATATGGCAGAGGTCATAGTCACCATGGCACTGTTGGGTGGCAGCCAAGACTTGTTCACTTATACTGTAGAAACCACTTCACAGGAAATACACTCTAGAAGAATACCTGAGGAATGTATAACTCAAGTTTGCTATTATTTTTAATTGGTTTTATTTGTGAAAATATGCTGATGGAAGTTAATAGTTTAAAATGTTGATTCACCAATGGAAATTTGCAAGGAAACAGAAATGGGAAGAAGGGTATTTATAAAGCAAAGCTAGCAGATGAACCGTTAAGTCACTTCAGGACAAAGGTCAGAGGCTGAGCAGATAAAAAAAATCATGAAATTTAATGCAACAATAAACTCTGATTAAATTACATCTGGTTGCTCTAAAGGTAACTGAAATGTCTGAGTACTCAGTAAACTTATAAAAAGAAAAACATGTTATTCTGGACACATCAAGAAAGAAAAGATTATTCTTAGGAAGATTAGACAATAAAGAAACATGATTATATAACCCAAGTATTTATTACATCAACCTTCCCTTAATGTCTCTTGCTCCCCAGCAGGTTGGACTGGCCTCCTGAGTTTCCCCAATAACTGAAAGGCACATCTTACTTCCTCAAAGCCTGTTCAATGAAGACTTCCCTGTCATCCCATCAAAAGTCTTAGTATCCCTATATTTCTTATGCCCTCTTTTCTAATATTTCTTTAAAAACCACTTATAACAAGCTACAGCTACCTTGCCTATCTAGTTGTATAGTCTACACAGACTAAGTTTTGTTTGACCACTGTTAAATATCTAATATGCAAAAGTTTAGTAGACAATATTTCTGGTTAGTGTCTTTTTTAAAGATTTTTTTTAATTTTTAAAGTGTTTATTCTATATGTACAGGTATTTTGCATGCACTCCTTTGTGCCTAGTGCTGTGTGGGCTAGAAAAGGGCTTCTAATCCCCTGGAACTGGAGTTAGAAGTGGTTGTGAGCTTCCTTGTGAGTGCTGGGAATTGGACTGAGTCCTCTGGAAGAGCAGACAGTGCACCCAACCACTGAGCCATCTCTTGAGCCCTAATAAATGTACTTTTTAATGAACTCAATAAATCTCTATTATAAGATAATAAATAAAGGTGAAAATGTAGAACATATGAAAAAGGTAAGCTTGGAAATGTTCTCTTTTTTCCTTTTATTCAGTCAAGTAATATACAGCTTAAGATAATAAATATTTTTAGGTGTAAAAAAACCTAAAAGTTTGTTGTTTCAGAAAAATGAAATAGACATTTCTAAATGTAGGTTTATTATAATGGTAACATCAAAAATCTTTTATAAACTAGTTCATTTTCATTATGTTATCAAAAAATGGCATATATAACTAAAGAGAGACAATCCTTTCTTTAAGAAAATTATATAGAAGATGTTTTAGGGAAATATAAGTTATATAACAAACGAGTTGCTTTTCCTTGGAACTCAAAAATGTATGCGAAAGGCATTATGATTAATTTATACCCATAAAATATTTACATTTGACTTCATATAATTAAAACAATTGAAATATCCAAAAAGAAAATTGCCTATGTCTATGTACACAATATCTATGTACATAAGCATTCTTCATATTTGCAGATGAAGAAAGTTAAAGAATGATTACTTAGGGTTAGCAAGCTGCCGTAGGCAAAGGCACTTGCCATGCAAGCCTAAAACCTGAGCTTGAAACCCAGAATTTATGTAAAGGTAGGAAAGCCAACTCTACAAATTGTCCTCTGACCTCCACATGTGCACTATGGCATGTAAGTTCCCCCTTCCCTCCACACACATGTACATAGGTGTACACACACACACACACACTTCATAAAAATTTAAAATTTAAGAATAGCTAAGTTTTTCTTTGTTGGAGTGTCTATTTTAAGACAGAATCTTGCTATTATAACACAGGCTGGCCTCAAATTTATGATTCTCCTGCTTCAGCCTCTATAGCAGCTACAGTTACAGACCATTCTTGGCCATGCACACTTTTAATAGACAATTCCAGTTTTGTTCTCAAAGGCAAGTCAAATAATTTTGTCCTAAACATTTCTTCTAATTTTGAAAGAAAAAAGGTGAACTGAATTACAAACATTACAAAAACTAATCATGAAAACTATGATTTCTGTCAAACATAATTTCATAAACTCAAATACCTATTCTGTCTGCACCCATGAAATAATCTTAGGTTCTGTTCTCACTTGCCTTATGGTTGTTCTGTTTATTAGAGGTTGGTAATTTTAAGAAGAATATAACTATTAGTAGGACTTACACATTTTGTACCCAAATTTCCTTATGAGTTAAAATATGGTATGATGTGAGGCTACTGAGACCTCCTTGTGAAATAATAAGCCACAGGTTACAGAACCCATGGAGTCACCAAGCCCTGACAGCAACTGTGACAAGTACTTTAATCTCCAAAGAGCCACATACATACTTAACAACTAATGCATATGTGTACAGAAATGGT